TAGCTTTGGACTCGGAATACAGCTTATCTCGGCTTGATAAGGGCATGTAGTATCGTAGCTTTACTCGGTCTCATCCAGGCGTGCGGTGCCGCTGGTACTGAGAACAACGCAGAACCAAGAGCTACTAAAGAGCACATGCAGCACGTAGCGAGACACAGAAAGGTCAGCATTGTATTGTTCGTTAGGAAGATGTGTTTTTGTTTCTGACGATATTCCTTCGCGCATTGATGATGGAAAATCTGGCGGTGGAAGTGGCCGGAGGAGCAATGCGCGCGTCGGGACCATTCAGCGCTTACACATTTAGCCTCGCTCCAGGGTTTTGATGCTAATGATGATAGCGTGTCAGTTGAAGACCCGCGGGACAGTAATTACGTGCAGTCCATCACGAGGTTAAGTTTAACGCGTCCGAACTTGTGGGACAGTAGTTGCGAGCGCTCCATCCTAGGACTAAGTTTAACGGGTCCGACCTGATACACCGCCCCAGCAAACCCCCAAGACAGGGAACAACTGCCTCACCATGATCTACGTCGCGCCTGCGCGTTCCACAGCCGATTTTAACTCACAGAGATGGCCCCTTCAAATCAGGCGTTATGTGCATGTTTGTAACTTTATCTGTTGAGCGTGCTTGCCTTTAGTGCCTTGCTGCGTCAGCTTGGTGTCCAGCGCCTCTAAAACGCGTTTAAGCATCCCTCGGAATACTGTAACTGGATGAAAGTCCGCGAAATACTATCTAGTTTTGGGTGGCTGGCTACAGATGGCGAAAAGCTTGCGGCCGTTCCAACCTCAGTAGAGTTTGTTGCCCTCCACGCTGACTCGTTGAGTGCTGTGTCAGCCTCCATCCATCGACGTGCTGTATCTCTGTCTGCAATGCTACCCTAGAGCTATTTACGCCTTGCGATGCGCTGTTTGTGAAGGGGAGTACTGCCCCGCAGAAGTTTTCGTTTGTGGGCACGAGGGATAGGCGACACCTGCATGCCCAGAGTCCAACAATGAATATTTCAGCTACGCGGAAAGCCGCCACCAACAGCGTTTACCTGATGAAAGAAGCACTTCACTCTCAGTGGCACAGTTCCCACATGGTGCAATCATGTGCGTGCGGGCTTGTGCGCGGTACTTTAAAGCGGGACTCTGACTCTCGAAGAAAACTACAGTTATTTCTCTTCCAGCACCCCTAAATCAGAAGATGGACCGCTAAGGTAAGCGAGTTGACGAACATAGTGGATCAGGTTACTGGACCAGGCACGGTGCACCATTAGCCCCGAGGAGGTTAGGGAAATGCCCCACTGTGGAGCACTAACCCCTTGCTAAAAAAGCAAAAGTTCCCGTAATAAACATTTTAAAAATAATATAAAAGCTATTAATTATGTATGGTAAGTAGAGTGCTCTCTGGGAAAACGCCGTACTTGTTGGACTGAACAAGTGGTGTCGCATGGGATCATCGACCACCAAGGGAGCGCGTTCTCACTAGCCGGTTAAGTTGCCAGGGGGCTCTTATTGTACAATAGAGAGTTCGGCTGAGGATCTGGATCATTTAATACGTGCACTTTCATTTCCGAGTGTGATCATCGTATTTCGTCGAGTGCATGGCTAACATTTTTCCTTGAGACCTTTAACGTGAATCGGTGGCGGTCCGATGTCTTTCGTTGGGGCATTTAACGTAAAAAACGTGAATCGGTGGCAGTACCGAAGCTAGTCGAGAAATTCAATGTGGAGTCCATACCGTCAACTACGTCCTCAACTAAAAAATCGAATAACATCAAAAATTTGGATTTGGGCGTTGAGATAACAGGTTGAGTGCAACGCCAACTGCAACACAGCAATGCTTACTGTGCTTGTGGGCCACAGAAGCCAGCGATGCTTAATTGATTTAATCTGTTTCTTCCCTCAGCCCACAGAGAGAGAAAAATCTTCTCCCAGCTGAAAAAGTAAAACGTCATCTTAATTCTTGAACTTCATGAACAACAATTGCATGGAGCGACTGCACCTCGGCGCGTATCTGGGTCGGACACGCATCGATAGCATTGCTGCCGCATTGAACACTGAACGTGCCAGTAAGTAATTCGGCAGTACTTCGTTGTCGATGTGGCTGAAGTTTCACTTTGTGACAAACTGCTTGGTACCTTTGTAGAGCGAGACAACTGGAAGTCTCCTGTTTTCAGTGTTGCGAACTCTTCACAAGCAAGCGAGGAGGCGCACTAGGGCGTACCACTTTCCAGCAGCAACTGCAAGCAGTGCTAGCCTGTACTACGTTCGCAACCTGTCGACATCAGGCAAATAAAGGCCAAATTAGTGGGCACTTAAAGTCTAGACGCGTGAGAGCTGTTTCCCGGACTGATGAACTCACAGTATAGGAATGATCTGTCTTCCTTTCGCACCACAGATCAGACGGTGGGATCGATTTCCTTTCTACAGCGAAAAACAGAACACAGCTCGTTTGACGACAAATTTCAAATCCAGAGCCCGTCCAAAAAGAAACTGTTTTCATCCCCTTGGACTCGTCATCTCGGCGTAGCAATCACCTTCCTCGCAGCAGCGTACCTTCTACTTGTTTGTTTTCATTTCATAGAAGCTAGAAAGCTTTCGGCTCCACAAATTCGTTCCCTTGCAGACCGTCACGATGGATCATGTGATTGGGACAGTGCTGCAGACGACGGCGACGATAGGTCTAGGCAGGGAAGGGGGCAACAACTGTCAGAGGAAGGTTTATCTCTGTCGCAGCATGAGGCTCATGGAGCACACAAGGCTGAAGCATCAGGGCCTGGAGAAGTTGATGTTGTGGCGTCTACTGGAGAGGGGGCAACTGGGAACAGGTTCGCTAATTGGACACAGCAACTTGCGCAGTCTAGTGTGAAATCATGGGCAAAACGAAACCTACCGCCGGCAGTAAAGGAGCGCCTAGTGGATGTGTTCTCGCGAATGGTGAGAGCTGCAAGGTTGTGCCAATCATTGCTGCCAAAGCTAACGTGCGAACAACGCCTGCAACTGACATATCGATTGATGCGACTGATGGCATTGGATTTGGGAGCCATTTCTTTAGTGAGGGAGGACATGGAACCTGCACGGCAAAGCGTGGGGGACTCTCTCATTAGTTTGGGCCTTGAATGCCTTGGGAGTAGCGGCAGCGACGCAAAGCTTGAAGGTGTGCGCTCGTCACTTCGCCAACTGATTGGTTTAGTTGATAAACTGAAGCAGCCTCGGCATGTTCAACGCGAATGCGGCCATCTCTCATACAAAATAAAGATGGTGGCCATAATGAGTACTGCTGGCTTGATACTAAAGAATTGTTTGGTAATCCTCGATTCGCTGCTGCGACAGAGCAATATACAACAGTCAGCGATACCAGAAGCTCTGGTTGAGCAGAAGCTCAGTGTTCTGAAGGAACTTTATCGTGTACATGCTGGTCACATTGCTGTGGACAAGCATCTCATGGAGCACATCCTGAGGTGCCAGGAGGCCACGGGCGTGTATGCGCTACTTCTTAATCGCCAAGCAGTGATGCCCAAGGCTCCTTTTCCAAAATTACAGCATTTGCAGGATCAGATAAGAAGGGTGGTCAATGGCAAGGTCCGTTTTACTCCATTTGAACAGCAAAATCCGATACAGAGTGAACGTTCCAGCTACATGTTCGTGGGAAGCAGCCAATCGACAACGACTCGCCCTGAAACATTCCTTGAACACTTGGGCAGCATGGTGCTGCACAAAGGATCTGCCGAAGAGCCCGGGCGAGATTTCAACTCAGCAGCATTTTCATCCAGCGAATACATGCACGGAGGCACGCCATTCCCTTCTCCTGCAGTTCCACAGTTGTCAGCTATTGAGTTGCCTCACCAAGGCGCCGAACCAGCTGCGCAGCCTCTACCGCAACTTGAAAGCCGCCCTCTAGGCCATCAACCAGATTGGGTCCTGTTAAACACTCTTGGGAACTCACCAAGCTCTTGGTTGTTTTGGCTTGACGCAGTACACCAACCGTCGCAACGACCAGAACGCCAAATAGCTTGGGGGTCATCTTCCACAGGCAGTTCCTTCCTCCCTTTCGCTCCTCAGTCTGCTGAAGCGGGGTTTTCTGTGGGCCAGATCAAGCGGCCCGCGCCCACTGGACGCTATAGTGAACTCTTTTTGGCGTCCACTATGCAGCTGCTACAACGGACTCAAGTTGAATCATCTGCCAGGCTTCAGTCGCCAGCTGCAGGCCCTCACACAAGCGACTACAGCCTCTTCGGTCAGGGAGGTGTTCCTCCCTGGTCACCCTTTTCACTAGTGCCAGCCGCCTCTGTCGAAGAACAAGCGACTGCAGGCCGTGGCTGGGTGGACGCTCAATTGCAAGACATGCGTGACCCTAGTACGGAGGACTTGGAGGAATCGAGTGGACGCTTGGAGTTTGGTCACCAATAAGGCATTGGGATTCTACAGCGCAGCGCTACTCCTTTTGAAACATACTGATTTGAATCGACAAACTCGAGTGACAATGGCTTTTCTGTCCCGTTGCATAAGGATCTGGGGTCTCAAAGGGATCCTGCCACTTGAGCTGCAAAGCAACTCATTGAACGAGGGTCTTGTGTCAAAATCCTTCAAGTTAACAATCCAATGCTCACCTGTGCTTCATTGATTTCGCCAGTTGCGCTAAATTGTTTTCGCTTTCCGTTGTTGCTGGTGCTTGTCCAACTCACCTTGCTTCATGATTAGTCCAAGCTCACCGCTTGCAGACCCCGAAGACTCCAGCTAGCCTTTCAGTCTGTTAGTCCTGCTGCGCCGACATTGTTTATGAGCAAAGTGACTCTATGATTACTTGTTTGGGCAGTTTGAAACTCGAGTAGAACTCTCACAGTCAGGGTTCCGTCGCTCAATGCCTGCTCGATATATGAGCATCCCATGAAAAGCCTGTGCTGCCCGCCAGCCGCTGAATCATGGTTCAGGGTTGCACGCGCACCCAAGTAAGCATCGTGCCTGTGTGCTGTTTTATTGGGCCGCAATAGTGGAATTTTGAGGAATTCGGGAACGCATGAGATAAAATGCCATGAATGTCCATCTGGGCACTTCGCAGCGGCATGGAAGTGTTTTCAAAGCTTTGGACTCGGAATACAGCTTATCTCGGCTTGATAAGGGCATGTAGTATCGTAGCTTTACTCGGTCTCATCCAGGCGTGCGGTGCCGCTGGTACTGAGAACAACGCAGAACCAAGAGCTACTAAAGAGCACATGCAGCACGTAGCGAGACACAGAAAGGTCAGCATTGTATTGTTCGTTAGGAAGATGTGTTTTTGTTTCTGACGATATTCCTTCGCGCATTGATGATGGAAAATCTGGCGGTGGAAGTGGCCGGAGGAGCAATGCGCGCGTCGGGACCATTCAGCGCT